TTGTTAATTATTGAATCTCTCACCCCCACCAGAACATAAGCTCCCCAAGCCTAAGGTGTTTTGTTCATTTGGGTCTTGGGTGTTCCTCAAGTGTCCAGACACTTGGAATAAATTTTTTGTTAAATTGAATTGGATAGTGACTGTTATCTCTCATATACAGAGTAACAACTATGACTTTTTCCTTCTAAAAAAGCAAAGCCATAAAGCAACAAGAATAAAATATCAATGAATGAATAAATATCTAAACTTTGAAGAAAAGAGTGAAGTTATAAAATGGAGTCACTATGGTCAAGATGTTAAATTATTAAAATAAAGTAGGCTGAGGCATGAGGATACAATTCTATTCTTGCCTTAACTATGCTGGGAACTTAAATCTCTGAACTTTCCAGTCATGCGTCAGTATCTGAATGCCCGGATATACATCAAAACCTCTGATGACCATCTGAATGATCTCAAGAAGAAATTGCTTCATTGTCCAGACTACTGGACATCTGAAAATTACCATTGTCAATGCAAGAAACAGCTAGGCCTTTAGAAAATTTTTACAAGCTTTTTGAGCCAAATTGACAATTGCTTAGAAGCAAAGCTCAATGAATTGAGAAAATGCTCTGGAGAATGGCAGTTTTGAAGCTTATTTATTTGTTTATTTTTAAGATTTTATTTCTTTTATTTTTAGAGAGAGGAAGGGAGGGAGAAAGAGAGGGAGAGAAATGTCAATGTGTTAGAAAAACATCAGTCTATTGCCTCTCATACATACCCAACCAGGGATCGAACCTGCTCCTTAGGGAACGATGCCCAACCAACTGAGCCACACCAGCCAGGGCTGCAGCTTATTTTATACATTAGAATCAAAGTAGGAAACGTAAGGAGGGTTACATGAAATCCATTGGTGGTAGATTAAGGAGCAGGGGAAAGCAAAATGGAGAAATCCCTGAGGTTAGATAAAGAGTAAAATCAAGAGATACATACCTCTTTTACATTGGTGGGTTTAAGATAGTAAACAGCATTTACAGCACATAGAGATTGTATGTAGAGAACAAGATAATAATGATGGGTTCTGTAGTCTCCTGCTGTAGTGCAGTGGGTGTACCCTCAAGGGTCTGGAAAAATGGGATTACTCTGACATTCCCTGGGTATGTTATCTTAAATGCAGAAAGACAATGGACAGGCTCACTTGAAGTAAAGATTGACCTTTGTCAAGGAAGCTACATGCCTAGTCACATGATGTGACTACCCATCATGCATCTTTTTTTAGTTAAAAAATATGTTTATTGACTTTAAAGAGAGAGAAAGGGAAAGACAGAAATGTTGATTGGTTGCCTCCTATATGTGCCCCAACCAAAGAGTGAACCCACAACCTACGTTTGTGCCCTGACTGGGAATCAAACCCTCAGCCTTTTGTTATATAGGATAAGGCTCCAACCAACTGAGCCACTGGCAAGGGACAAGACTTCCTTTCATTTAAGAATTTTTATGTTCAAACCATCTTCTGTGGTTGCTTTTAGATTCTGAGTTTGTAGGGCCTGCCATGCAGACCTTCCCTGAGCTTGTCATGTTTAGTATTTGGCCTCTTTTTCATTCATACTATCTTGGACAAATCCTGACAGTAAGAATAGCAGGACTGATTCTTCTCAAGAATGTATTTTTTTTTTTTTACTATAAGAACCAACCCTCAGCTTTTCTTTCTCCTTCAGAACACATACAGGTTTTGCTTAGCTTTGTTTCCAGTTTGCAAAATCTGATTCTTGAATTAGTCTTTGTCATTTGTTTTCTTTTTTTTTCTAAGATTTTATTTATTTATTTTTAGAGAGGGAAGGAAGGGAGAGAGAGAGAGAGAGAGAGAGAGAGAGAGAGAAACATCAATGTATGGTTGCTGGGGGTGTGGCCTGCAACCCAGGCATGTGCCCTGACTGGGAATCGAACCTGTGATGCTTTGGTTCGCAGCCCACACTCAATCCACTGAGCTACGCCAGCCAGGGCTGTCATTTGTTTTCTAGCAAAACCTCTTGACTCTTTTGGCATTCATTCAACAATTTGTAATGGGAATATTTATCATAAATATAAAGACAAAGGACCATAGCAATAAGTATGACAGCAAATAAAATTAATCTTAGTATATTAAAAACCTCATAGGATAATCAAACTTGAAACAAAATTAAGTTGTAATTTGTATGACAGATGTGAAATTATAAGCTAATATATAATGATTTCTTATAAGTCAGTAAGAGAAAAGATGACACTGGCTAAAAAAATGGGTGAAAGACATAGAATAATAATTCACAAAAGAGTCCCATCAAGAAGGAGGCAAGAGTAGACACACTTTGCTTCCTTGCACAACAACAAAAAGGAATTATAACTAAATCTCAAAACAAGTAACACCCTGAACTCTCAGAAAATTGAACCATATGGAGGTCCGATAACCAAGGAGTTAAAGAAGAAACATTCATACAGACAGGTTGCAGGGGTGGAGGTATGCAGCCAGGGCAGAGAGAACATGTGGCAATAAGGTGACTGGCAGAGTGGGCGGTCCCACATTTGTGTGTGGATAAATTGGGAGGAACAACTGGAGAGTGACAACCGCACAACCCAGGGTTCCAGTGCGGGGAAATAAAGCATCAAAACCTCTGGCTGTTAAATCCTATGGGGGTTGCAGCTGCACAAGAAACTCCCAAACTCACAGGATAGGTTGTTTGAGAGACCCACAGGGTCCTAGATATACACACACCCACCCACCTGGGAATCAGCATCAGAAGGGCCCAATTTGCCTGCAGATAATGGGGGAAGTGACTAAAAGTGCGGCAAGAGCTGAGCAAGCAGCATTGTTCCCTCTTGGACTCCTCCCCACATACAGCACCAAAATTCATCGATGTGGGTTGGCCCACCCTGGCAAATACCTAAGGCTACGCCTCTTGCAATGTACGAGGTGTGTCCAGACAAAAAGTATGGCTCTAATGAAAGAACAGATCACAGATCCAAAAATAGAACTCAGCAATGAAAAGATGCACAGTTCAAAATACTGGTAATTAGGATGCTCACAGAAATGGCTGAGTATGGTCGCAAATGGAGGAAGAAGTTAAGGCTATGAGGAGTGAAATAAATAAAAATACACAGGGAACCAACAGTGAAGGGAAGGAAACCAGGACTCAGATCAATGATTTGGAGCAGAAGGAAGAAATAAACTTTCAGCCAGGATAGAATGAAGGAACAAGAATGCAAAAAAATGAGGAGAGGCTTAGGAACCTCCAGGACAACCTTAAATGTTCCAATATCAGAATCATACTTGTGCCAGAAGGAGAAGAGGAAGAGCAAGAAATTGAAAAATTATCTGAAAAAATGATGAAGGAGAACTTCCCCAATCTAGCAATGGAAATAGACTTCCAGGAAGTCCAGGAAGCTCAGGGAGTCCCAAAGAAGTTGGACCCAAGGAGGAACACAAAGCACATCATAATTACATTACGCAAGATTAAAGGTAAAGAGAGAATCTTAAAAGCAGCAAGAGGAAAGGAGACAGTTACCTACAAAGGACTTCCCATAAGACTGTCAGCTGATTTCTCAAAAGAAATCTTGCAGGCAAGAAGGGGCTGGAAAGAAGTATTCCAAGTCAGGAAAGGCAAGGATCTGCATCCAAGATTACTCTACCCAGCAGAGCTTTCATTTAGAATGGAAGGGCAGATAAAGTGCTTCTCAGATAAGGTCAAGTTAAAGGAGTTCATCATCACCAAGTCCTTATTATATGAAATGTCAAGGGACTTATCTAAGAAAAAGAAGAAGATTAAAACCATGAAGAGTAAAATGATGGCAAACTACAAACTATCAACAACTGAACATAAAAAACAAAAACAAAAACAAACTATGCAAACAACTAGAACAAGAACAGAATCACATAAATGGGGAAAACATAGAGGGTTGTCAGTGAGGAGAGGGAGTGGAGAGAATGGGGGAAAGGTACAGGAAATAAGAAGCATAATTGGTAGGTACAAAATAGATGGGGGGAAGTTAATTATATTATGGGAAATGGAGAAGCCAAAGAACTGATATGTAAGACCCATGGGCATAAACTAAGGGCGGGTAGAATGCTGTTGGGAGGGGGATATAGGGTGGAGGGGGATAAAGGGGAGAAAAAAATGTGACAACTGTAATAACATAATCAACAAAGTATATTTTAAAAAAAGAAAAAAGCTATCAACTGATTTCTCAAAAGAAACTACATAGGCAAGAAGTGTTCAAAGTCATGAAAAGCAAGAAACTACATTCAAGATTACTCTATCCAGAAAAGCTATCATTTAGAATGGAAGGACAGATAAAGTGCTTCCCAGACAAAGTAAAGCTAAAGGAGTATATCATCACCAGGCCATTATTATATGAAATGTAAAGGGACTTATTTAAGAACAAGAAGATCAAAACTATGAACATTAAAAAGGCAACAGATTCACAGCTATCAACAACTCAATCTAAAACAAACAAAGAAACCCAACAACCTGATCAGGAAGAGAGTCATAGGTATGGAGATCATTTAGAGGGTTATCAGTGGAGATGGGGAAGTGGGAGAATGGGGGAAAAGGTACAAGGAATAATAAACATAATTGGTAGGTACAAAATAGACAGGGGGATGTTAAGAACAGTACAGGAAATGGAGAAGCCAAAGAACTTATATGCATGACCCATGGACATGAACTAAGGGGGGATTGCTGGAGGGAAGTACTGGGTGGAAGGGGGCAAAGGGGGATCAAGTAGGACAACTGTAATAACATAATGAATACAATATACTAAACAAGTAAAAAGGAATAATAAGTCATAAAAGAAATGAAACTGGACAAATAATATATAAATCAACCATTAACCACACTGCAAATTCAAACCACAATGTTATGTTATTTTTGCTTATCAAAAAAGAAAATTCTATTTTAATTTATCTGTGACTCAGTAAGGCTACTTCTAGCACCCTATCCCCAATAATTAGAGAGCTGTACAAATGCCTATGTTCAAGGATGTTTATTGAAATACTATTTATGAAAAACGACATAAAAAATCCATAACAGAGAGAGGTTAAAATAAAGTAAGAAACAATCATACCATGGAATATTTTACAGCTGTTCAAAATCATGATTTTGCACAATACCCAGTCATATGGGGAAATACTTAAGCTATGTATTTCAAGGTTAAAAAAGATGTAAAATATGGGGCAGAATTCCAAAATTTCAGATACAAATGCATATATACAGATACCACAAATCAAAAAATGACTAAAAAATATGTAAATGTTAATACCTGTTATTTTCATGTAGTGGGATTATGAGAGATTTTATTCATTTAACGTTTTCTGTATTTTTTTACAATGCATCATCTGCACACTGTTGCAGTTTCCAATTTTCTCAAAATTATAGGTATTACATTTACATTTAGAAAAGTAATAAATAAATGCTAATAACAATAATAAAAATATAAAAGTGAGATCCAAGGGGTTCCAAAAGATACAAACATAAATACTAAATATCTTTTTTGATTTATAAATGGCTAAATCTTCCAGCTAAAAAGTTTTTATTTCCAGTAGCAATAGTGCTTGTATTTTTTCCTTGACTGGATTTTGATGGAGGATCTACTGCAACATATTTGATTTGGAAACCTCCTGCAGTCACAGAAGCATCACTTAGAAACTTTAAGGTCATGACATTTCCTGGGGAGGAAGAGGATGCAAAAGAACAAAGATGTTAGTCTCCTTCAATTTAGCTGACAAAAATGTCCTTTCAGGGCTTCCTTTTGACTTTCCCTCCCTCTCTTTTTAAAAATAGGATTCTCATCCCCCATCTACCTCCTACAGCTCATAAGATGTCTTCTTTTAACTTTCAGTTAACAAAATACGTCCTTAAGACAAGAATACTAGATGAACAAAAGATTTTAAAAGTTCGTTTTTCCTTGGGAGATTGTAACAGAGTAATGAATTAATAAGTTTTAAGCATTATTCATTCAAGAATTGAACAAGCAATTCCATCTTTTCTGATAATGATGAATAAATGAAAATTGTGTGCAAGGCTAGGGTGTGTGAGTAATGTAGCTAGTAGTATCTGAGCTTGAGGACTGTTGCTTTTAATTGCATGAGCATTGTGATAATTTTATGGTTTGAAGGAAAAATATAGCATGTAAAATGCCAAATACTAACACTGGTGATGAAAATAAAAAGGAAAATGACATCTAAGAAAAGAAATGTTCTTAGCCAGAAAATAGCAGTTTGGGTTAATAGCAGTGGTATTGCTTAATGACATTAAGCTACAAGGACATTTCTTGAGGTTACATTTCATGCAACAAAGGCATACAAAATAATTTGCTGGAGGAAAGCAATTGGGAAAGCATTGCCAACCATAGGTAGCCTTTTGAGATGCACTATGTATAATAAGCATATTAAAAGATCTCTGCTGTTTTCCAATAAAGAAACCTGTTTAACATTATTGAACTCAATGTTACCCAAATTTATTTAACCTTAGAGCCCTTTTGTCATGTAGCACCTTTTAAAAAACTTTTTACAGTATTATGCTCTTCATGACTCTCTCTGGGAAATGCTATACTAAGATTTAAAAATGCAATAAGTAAGTTGTAAAATTTTTTCAGTGGCAGAAGGTATTTTTTTCAGTCCTCACTTGAGGACATGTTTATTGATTTTACAGAGAGGGGAAGGGAAAGAGAAAGAGACACATCCATGTGAGAAACATCGATGGGTTGCCTCCCATATTTGCCCCAACTGGGGATGGAGTCCACAGCTTAGGTAAGTGCCCTGGCAGGAGGTTAAACTGCAACCTTCTGGCAAATGGGAGGATGCTCCAACCAACTGAGCCACCCAGCCAGGGCAACAGAAGGTATTTTTAACTACTTTGTAAATTACTTCAATTCTTTATCAATGAAACATTTTGGCCTTTTATTACATTTTATGGAAATTATAACCCACAGCAGAATTCATGGATTGCTGATTCAAGACTATCTCAGACTGCATTTTCTGCAAATAGCAAGAATCTACACATTTTCAGTATAAGAAGTTGCCATAAATCTTTCTTTAACTATAAATAAATACTCTGAATTTCACAAGCCAGCAAACTACATCTGTCCACAGTTCTCTCAACTTGAAAAATTAAATAGTAATGACTACTGGGTCTTTCACTTTCAATGACACTGAGAAAAGAAATCATAGTTATTTGTTCCTTAATTTAGAGCCATTACCTGTACTAATGATGTCTTCTGGAAGCTCATTCCCACAGAATCTGAAAAGGAATTTTTTAAAAAACAGAGGTCACATGAATCAATATTATATAGCTATTGCAAGTAGCTCTTATCAATACCTAGAGTGCTTTATTTAGCCTAAGTAATGGCTCATTTTAGTAATATTTTATTGTTTTTTTTAAATTTGAATTTGTAAGGGAGAAGAGAGTAAAACATTATTTGAAGTAATCTTCTCAAGAAAGTAATGAGATTCTTAAGAAAGGATGTGACATTTCTGCTCTCTGTACCTACAAAACTATTTGTGTAGCAGACAATTGAATCTTTTTGGAAAATTAAAAATTTGTTTCTGATTAATCTCATAAAGTTTTCTTCACAGTAGAAAGACAATGAGTGTATAGTTGGTGATATTATATTTTAAAATTCTAGAGTATATAGATTTAAACATAGAAAAATTACATTGGAACTTAGAGATATAAAAGAGTTTTATTTTAATAAAAATCATGCCTTGAAAGGGACTCCCTTGCACATTATATAAGAGCTAAGGGCTCTGTCAGTTCCCAAAAGTGTAATTTATTTTGGAGGGGTGGAAAGTCTATTACAATGGTAAATTACACAATATATATTTATAACCTGTTGACATTTTTTTAAAATGTTAATTTTTAAAAAATCTAGGGTTGTAATTGATTTGTGAAACTAGGTTTAGAATAAAAACATCATCCTAAATCCAAGGAAGGAGGTACATTCTTTCAAAAAATATTTTGTCCTTAATTCCTTCAACCCACTTCACGTCTTTTTGAAACTACTTTAAAAACTATTTGTATTTTTTATATGGCAGTAGTCTCAGCCAAGGAACAAAACAAAACACACTTCTCTCCAAAAAGTTGTTCATTTATTCAAGAAATGCCTTTATTTGTCTTTGTATTTAATTACACATTTCAAAGTCAACATAAAAACTCTTGAGTCTGTCATTTTTAATTGTCCCCAATATCATATTCTTTTATTAAATAACAACTGTCATGGATAATGGAGAATTGATAACTGATAGTGTATGGACATTATTAAATAGTGACCTGAATATAGAAAGCACCTAATTGCTCACTCTTTAAATTGCAATATTTTGTGAGACTCTCAAAATTTAAACTATGTTAAATTTGGGGGGGCAAAAACACAAAAACATTGTGTCCCAGCACACATGTTGAAAACCATGGGAAAAATGTTGAGGAAAAGAGCAGTTGCTTTTTATGGCAAAGAAAGCTATTTTTAAGAAGCTTCTATTGTAGGTTTAGCTAAATTGTGTGAAAGAAGAAACTATAATTTGCTTATTTACTTTATACACATAAATCTTAGCACATGCTTCATACACAGAAGAAAGGCACCAATTACTGAGTTTATCATTATTTTTAGAGGTTGACAGAAATTAGAACACTTAAAACTTCAATGAATTTCCCATCTCACATCTTTCTTTTTCCTGTTGTTAGTTAATCCTGAGGTCTTTCTAAATAGACTATAAAACTAATTGTTACAGCTTAACAATAATCAAAAGGTGGCTATCACTATTTTAAAAATAAATAGCAGCTGACGGTGATTTAACATACTACGAAAAATCTTTGTTTAAACAGTGTACGGTGTTGTAGGAGTGTAGAAACACTGGAAAATCAATATTGTAGGGACAGTTGGGGGAAATTAAAGAAACATTAAACACAATGTTGAATGTTCCTTTAGCTTCATGTATGGGGAAACAGCACATACCTTCCCACAAAGCCATGGATATCGTCGTAACTGTCATATATTTCAAAATAGTCAGCCAGGCAAGCTGGGTCATCTTCAAGGTCAAAGTCCAAGAAACTCAGGTGAATACGCTGACCATACTGGAGTCTAATGTGCCAGTAGCAGATCTGGTTATCGTCATACTCATTTGGGAAGCCTGGTGATTTAAAAATTCTCTTTGGATCTGTAAAGATACCACCGCATTCTTTTGCTAAAATGAAAAAAAAAAAAGAAAGCATTAGAAAAAAATTATTTCTACTTTAAAATGATATTCACATCTTACTGTTTATCTATTTATTACTCTTTATGAAATAGTAAAGAAATAACTTAAATACATTACTTATACTACATAGTGTATTCTTGCAGCTAAAGAATAAAGGAATTTTTCATCAATAATTGCTCAATTCTCTAAAATAAGCAGACATTTGTGAATTTTTAAGAAATAAAGCAACAATAAAAAATACTAATTTAATTGTGCTCCTGGTTACATTTTTTGCTTCTTTTTATCATTTAAGCATAAAATGCTTAATGAGTACACATCCGTATGCTTTGACAAATACATATATTCATACTACCAACAGCCCAGTCAAGACAGCAGGGATTTTTTGTCCTGTGGTGTCATCCCTGTGTCTTCACGGACTTGAATATTTAGAATAAAGAGTCTCTAGCCCTGGCTGGCATAGCTCAGTGGACTGGGCGCAGGCTGCGAACCAAAATGTCGCAGGTTTGATTCCCAGTCAGGGTACATGCCTGGGTTGCAGGCCATGACCCCCAGTAACTGCACATTGATGTTTCTCTCTCTCTCTCTCTCTCTCTCTCCCCCCTCCCGTCCCTCTCTGAAAATAAATAAATAAAATTTTAAAAAAATATATATAAGAGTCTAATAAATTCTGTTTGGAAAATCACTGTAGAATTTCAGGATTATAAGAGACTTTGAAGGTCACTCTAATCCAGTTACAAGGAATAATTTATAATCCTTTTACACTCTTTTTATGGGTTTTTACCTAAAAACTAACACCTAGTCTTATTTAAGAATTTGGTCAACATATTTATGTTTGTTTTTTTAAGTCATTTTTTTAAATTAAAAAAATATTTATAGATATTATATGAGAGAGAGAAAGACAGATGTCAGTTTGTTGTTCTACTTATTTATGCATTCATCAGCTGATTCCTGTATGTGCCCTGACTGGGGATGGAACCCACAACCCTGGCATAACAGATCCATGCTCTAACCAACTGAACTACATAGCTAAGGTGTAGTTCAGTTGGTTAGTTTATAATTTTTTTTTAATTTTATAGATTTATATTGTGTCACATAACCTGTTATAAGAACAACCTTGGCCAGAACCAATGACTTGTAGTATGACCTAGAGGGAAAGCTCTGGATGGTCCCTGATTAATTTTAATTCCATATCAAGTAAGTGTCTAGTGTCTTGAAAAATAAAAGAAAACCTGGAAACTCAAAAATAATCTGGGTAGTGCTGACTCTGGTAGCAATTGATATTTTTCATTGTATCAATTTCATGCTTCTGCCAAGAATATTCTTCTTTAAAGTAACTATTTAAAAATTTTTTATTAGCATCTTCACTGCCATAGATGTTAAGGAAACTTATCTCCAAAGTAGAAGAGGGTCCTAGAAAGGTTGGGGAGTGACAAAGATCGGAGGTCCAGTCCGAGTGCTTTGTGACCACCCCACATCTCAGTTTCTTTACTGGGAAAATAAGCATAATCATGCCTCTCCTATCACTGTTCACAAGATTATTCTGAGGATAAAACAGGGAAGATAACCTAAGGATGTTATACAAAATGTAAGCTATTCTTATTACGTTATTAAAATTTATATAATACATAGTTTATATGTGTACTTAAGTCTATACAGTGCCAGCTTGTGGAGTGACTTGCTCTGTCCCATAAAATCTTTTCTTTATTGTATACATTGTTAGGTTAGGATAAAAATTCAAATATTGAACTATTTTGGTTGTCTATTTAGCTATATCTATTCAGCTGGATATTTTATACTACATATAGTTATTGCTTCATATTTTTATTTTGAAAATAATAGATTCACAAAGTTGACTAGATCCTTGAGGACCTAGCCTAAGTTTGGATAAGTTACTCAACCTATTTTTTATTTATTGATAAGATTTTATGTATGTATGTATGTATGTACATTAGAGGGGGGGAAGAGAGGAAGAAAGAGAGGGAGAGAAATATCAATGTGCCAGAGGAAAAAAAAATCAATTGGTTGCCTCTCGCACACCTCCACCCTGGAACCTTGGCCTGCAACCCAGGCACATGCCCTGACTGGGAATGGAACCAATGACCTTTCTGTTCCCAGGCCAGTGCTCAACCCACTGTGCCACACCAGCCAGGGTTATTCATTTATATTTTAATCCTCACCTGAGGATAAGTTTTTTATTGATTTTAGAGAAAGAGCAAAGACTCAGAGAAGGAGAGAGACAAAGAGAGAAACATTGATTTGAGAGAGAAACATCAATTGGTTGCCTCCCATATACGCTCCAACCAGGATCGATCCTGCAACGTTTTGGTGTACAGGGCCACACTCCAACCAACTGAGCACTCAGCCAGGTCAATTACTTAAGCTCTTAAACCGTTTTCCTGATTTCTAAAATGGTATAGCTTTTGCCGGTATAGCTCAGTTGGTTGGAGCATTATCTTGTACACCAAAAGGTTGAAGGTCCAACTTCCAGTCAGGGCATATGCTGTATTTTGCTGTCTATAATACACATATTTTTGCCCAAATTTTTGAGGGAAAAATAAGGATGCACATTATGCATGGGTAGTACTAATTCTGTATCTATATAAATGTTTTTAATTCTTTTATTTAGGTTTATAATGTAATGTAGAAATTGAAGAAGATGGCACTTCTGACATTGCCAATGATGAAGAGTTCTTGGCTTCCTATGATGTATAAATACCATAAATTTATTACTGGCAAATAAAATTTCTTGTACTTATACCATAATATGTTAAAAAATGAATGTTAAAATTTCTTTATAATACACAAAACTAGTATCTATATACAAATAAATAAATAATTTAATAAAAAAATTAAAACGAGATTTTTTCCTGCAAGTTTGAGTGCATTATACACGGCACATTATACACAGCAAAATACAGGCACCTAGTTTACAGGTTTGATCCCTGATGGGGATGGGGATGGGAGGCAACCTATTGGTATTTCTCTCTCTCTCAAATCAATAAACATTTTGAAAAATTTTAAATGGGTATAAAAATACTTCCTTGCAGGGTGGTAAATACCGAGTGACAGTAGATAAGGAACGTAAATCAGTGTCTGACACAGCATAATCGCTCAATGCGTGGTAATTGTTAGTGATTATCATCACTAAATTGATTTATCTCTGGAAAAAAGTTTTTAACAACCTCTTAGTAATGTAACTTTTTGCAAAGTATAAAAATCATTATTTTTAACAAACCATGTGGGTTGTAGCAATAAGCATCCCATTTTTCACTCTTGTTGAGACGGACTCCGTAATCAATAATACCAGTTTTTCCAAATCCACAGTTGGGCCCTGGCTTCACAATGGGGTATCCAACTCTGCCCTTGGCCATCCACCCAGCAGCACAGACATGAAATCCTGCAAGAGAATGAATAGGTTTTACACTTAACTGGTAATCTCAGCTGAGAGAAGCTTATCTTTACAATGATGGCCCCTTCCAGCAGTAACAGTTTCATGCAAAAGGGTGAAAATTGTTTTCTTTTAAATAAATAACATAAAATTGGAACACCTCTAAAATATAACATCTGACTTTTACTAGAAAATTACATCTTAAAAAATAAGATGCAATGAACTAGAAATCATAATACCATGAATATGAAAACAGTGTACGTTCAGAGCTGGCTTCTTTTCACCAATGACCTATCTAGTACAATGAGATAATTTCTAAAATTACTATCAATCATGAAAAAAAGTTTTGGATGATAGTTTAATTAATTTCTATTTCAGGACCAATTAAGATATCGCTGATATTTTTGAAAAATTGAAGAGGGATAAAAGCACTCATAGATTTCAAACAAGGTCTCAGCCCTATTTTTCTTGCTCAGCAGTGGAGGCTGTTCAAATATTTGCCAGTGCCATCCAAGAACTATTTTACTTGAAGACCAGGGCAGCTAGTAATGGCTCTGGCTTTTGTATCCATCATTCCTGTTACTGTGTCACTCAGTCCTGTGGGAACAGAATGAGCAGTTATCTGGGGAGACTTTGGGGCATTTTAGAGAACACCTGTATTTTTGCCTTGGGTAATGTATAATAATAGCATAACCTTTGCCAATTATTTTCCTATCAGCAAAAGTGTTTCTTCAATGGAGAAGAGTTCCAAATGTGAGTGGCCTTTTGGAAACTCCTGAAAGCCCGAGAGAGACGGTAGCAGGCCATTTTTTAAAGTAAAGAAACAAAAAGCACTAGTTGATAATTGGGTTTTCACCAGGTCTCCTGACATCATTTTCCCAGTTCTTTTCTCCTGCTGTCTCATAACTTGCTTATCCTCCTTTTTCTCATAACTTTTAACCCTGAAATACAAATGCATTCTCCCACATAATGTTAAACAAAGAAAACATTGAAAAAATTAGAAAAAAACCCACTAAATTCAATGTTTTTTCCTGCCAAGTAAATTTCCTTGTAAGATTCGATGTAGGAACATCATCTAACTGCTGAGGAAACCTGTACTCAGAAGTCAATAAGAGATGGAACAGTATTAAAAATGAATAGTAATGGATTTACATTTATGAGGAATTTAAATGATACTGGGTTAATGTCTTCATGTTTTCTTATGATTTTCACTTATCTCATAGTGGGCTGTATCCCCAAATAAGTTGCTAGTGCTGGAAACTTTCCACTAGCAGCTCTAGGCAGAGAAGATGGGAAAAGCCAGAGGGCAGAGATGGCATAGGGGCTTAGAGAACAGTTAGGGTAGAATAGAGAAGACTTACTGAGAGGTTACAGGAAAGGTGGAACATTTTTCCCCCGAGGGCGACAGAGAAAGAAAGTCATTGTTAAATCATTTACCAATTTTTCTGGCTGCCTCTAGCTGCTTGTAAGTGGCGAGACGGCCACCTTCATATTCGCACACCTCCTTTGCTTCTGTGTAGGTGAGCTTGTACTTGCCAGACCGAGCTTCTCTGTGGTACACGCCTGCTGCTTGTTCTGTGAATTCACAAAATGTTATAAATGCACTGCTATAATTCTTGTGGAACAAGGGAAATTTTGTGACCTCAGCTGGAAGATTACATCAGCTATTGTTCCTGCCAAAGTGTTCCCTAGTTCAGCTGCCTTGGGTAACTACATTTTTCATTATTAGAAAGCTTTGGGGAAAAATTATGGATGAGGGGGAATTTTCGGGAAATCTGGTGGCATAGACAGAAAATCAAGGCTAAATTATGTTTCTGAACTGACAGCATGAAAGAGTTTAGCACATTGTATTTCTACACTACCAAAAGTGAAAAAGTTTTTACTTTTTTTGGCTTTAACTCACATAAAACTTGGAAAGGTAACTAATAGGAGAAAAAAGGAGGTGAAGGCAAAGGAAACCATGAAAATTGATCCATTTTGTAGGCTCACAATGATGGAGAAAAATAAGCCAAAATATCCATTTGAGGAAAATGACTAATGCAATGTAAGTGAGAATTTAGTAAACAAAAAACTGAGAGAAAGTTTGAAGGAATCTAAAGCAAACAGATATTGCATTAAAGAAAATAACACTGCCTTGGCTGGGTAAGCTCATTTGGTTGGAGCATCGACCCCAATGCCAAGGTTTCGGATTCAATCCCCAGTCAGGACATGTACAAGAATGAACGAATGAATGCATCAATAAGTGGAACAACAAATGGCTGTCTCTCTCTCTCTCTCTTCTTTCCTCTCTCTCTCAAATCAATAAACAAAAAAATTAAAAAAAAACTAGATTCAAACACAGCAGAGAAAAACCTGGACACACCTAACTACTGGTTCCTAAGTTCTTTATCTGTTTTGTTTTCTTTTAGTTTATATTTGTTCCCAACGTATTTTTGGTGGTGTTAAATCATACATGAGTTGTCTCCCAGTAGATCACTATTTAAATTGATTGTTTTGAGTTGGAAGCACATTTTGCCATGGAAACAATGTGGAAAGATTCCCAGGACAGTAATCATAAGACAGCTCTAACAGTTCCATGTAGACTGTCATAGTAATTCAGTCCCTGTGCCCTGTCCTGTGCATTCAGCTACCATTAAGACCATTTTCAATGAGAACACATATATCTTGGCAGGCAGTGACATGAAGCCAGCTCTGTTAGAAATACTGTTCCTTGCTCTCCTCCCCAGGCTGAAGTTGACATTGCCACAGTTGAACAGGCGATACTATTTGGCATTTTTCCTGTTTCTCTGGACGAGATCTTCTTATATATTATATAGTAAAGGCCCATTACTGAAGACCTTAATCAATCTGATACTGCTAGGTCAGAGAACACAAGGTCATTTCCTCCTTTTTATGGTAAAGCCTCAGTTAACTACACTTTCACTAGTTTCCAATCTGGTTGTTTTGAGCACATACTGTGAGGTACTTTGCTAGGTGCCATGGATCAAATCCTGTGCCCAAGCAACTTAGACACTAGTGGGCAATTCAAGCACAGATAGTCCCTGTTTATGATGGTTCAACTTATGATACTAGAGTTAAAAATCAACCTTAGGGGTCCTCTATTTCAGCCTTCTCATCTTACCAGGGTGTACCAGAAACCAAGGGTTTAAAGTGCCTTGTTCTTGATAGTTGCTATCTGATTCTTGCCTTTTAATCCAACTGCCTTTCCTTCTTAAATAGTTTCTAATACTATATTGACCTAACCAACTGTAAATAATTTGTGCTAGGTTGACTGGTCAATAATTTGTCCCAGATTGAAGCAATGTGCAATTACCCCAAGCCTCAAATTTGCAGCACACTATTAACAAACATTCAGGTTTGCTCTCTCTACCTCTAGGACTGAACTTCTATTATTCAGGTTTATATTTTTGTAAAATACAAAATCGCTTTTTAAGAAAACCAACAATAGCTCCAAATTACTTGATCATCAGAAAGTTTTACAGCATTTCAAAGTTCATCCATGTGGGTTTCATTCTTACTAGCTTCATGACAATCTTTCTCATGTCTAAAAAAATGTGCATATTTCCAAGGTTTGATTGTGTGCAGTGACAATAAACAGAGACTTGTTCATTCCTCTAGTAAATCCCAGACCCCATCTTGGCCAAATGCATCTCACTGTTCGGCACGAAACTAGCTCACTGGCTCAAGCTGCAAAAAGAGGGGGAAAGACTGTGCATTGCAAATCAAGCTTTTTAATGAAATCCGCATGACTGCAGTTATTATTACCAGGGAGAAACAAGCTGGAATATTCTATAACTGTGTGCTACTTAGCAAGCATAAAACCAGGATGTAGGTTAATTTTGCTTTTGCTTTATTTTCTTATTTTATACAAGAATCCCTCAATTTTCTTCTTGAGAATTCAAAATATTTTCACTATAAAACACAATAATGGACATAGAGCACTATTAATTTATATCATGAAAATGAAAGTATTGTTTAGAATATTATAAAGGGTATTTTGGGTTTTGCGTATTTGGCTTTTTTGGTCTATTGTTTGTATTCACAGTTAGGCCCATGTCATTCCTCACTTATATTTAACAAAACCAACAACAAAAGCAACTCTTCTTGTCTAACAAAAGGGGTAAAAAAGTACATGGATAGTTCAAAAAAAGGAATCAAAGTGGTAGGAAAGCATTCAGAAATACAAGCTTTAATTTTTTTTTCTGTATTATAAGCTTGCTTCGTCAAACTAGTCAAAATTATTTGGAAAAAAGCAAGCTATGTACTACAAGTCAGAATACCTGGAGAAATGATTATAAAGTTATTGTATATTCCACTTTACCTGTTATGGTTCTGGTACTATTACCTGCTATAAAATCTGACTGCAAATGCATTGAAATAAAAGCAAAATAATAAGTTGGTGTTTTTTTTTTGTTAAAGAAACATGCCCCATTATACCACCACATCTGTTATTAAAATTTTAAAATATACTTTTGTATGGAATATAAATATTAATCTCTATTTTTTTACTGAAAAATTTACTGTACAAAAAGCCATTTTTAAACTTTAGAAGGCAGGAACACTATTTAAAAGTGGTATAGGCATTCTGAAAGCTATCTTTCCTTAGCATTTTCTTTGAAAACATCAGGCTTGAACAGAACAGAAAAAACTACAGTTTTGATTCACTTCTCCATCAATTCAAAGAAGTGACATTCTCAACAAGAAGCTTAGTGAGTGCAGTTTCTTACCAAGCCATATGGAGTTGTGAAAAATTCCGTTCTTGTATCCCCATCCATGAGCCTCTTCCCACAGCAAGACAAAGAAGTAAATTAAGAAGATCATATCTTGGTCGTAGAGAAGTAATAGCCTATTAGGGGCTCCTCAGGATGAGTTCTCAGGGCAGAGGCTGCAATGCGACTGAAACATCTGGTTTCCACATCTTTTAAATGGTTTTTTCAACTGTGAGGTCAGCAACTACTCTCCAATGGCATTTCCCGCTGCAGAGTTTCACAATTAACTCAGTGTCTGAAGCAAATCCTCTGACTCATTTGCATTGGCAACTACAACTGAGGATATAGTGATCATCTACATTCTAAAATTCACTTACATGAGGTGTTCATTAATTCTGTCCATCACAGACACTTTTCTATTAGGAAGTTTGTGTAACTTGATGCAGAGTCAGCAGTGATTTAAAACAAAAAGTGTGTGTAATTTGGAAAATCCTAAACCATCTCCAGGGATGTAGATTTCTTTACCCTCTATCTGCTTTTCTCCTGGGGTAGGGTCTGTCGCACCCTTGGTTTATTGTGGTTAGCAGATAGATACATCAGCTCCCAGAAACATAGTACAGTTTTAGAGCCTTAAGCCATTCCAGCAGCATTCTAACACAAATTTCCCCAAGACACAAATCCTTGAAATTTGGGGGGGGGGAAATGTGGGTGGGTAGATAGATAGTCATACTTAATAAAAATATGGTCCTACCTTCCCCAACACTCTAACTTTGAAGATGATCAAAAGAGCAGGTAGTAATTGCCATAGTAAAGTCACCACACCTTAAAATATCCCAAACTTTGTTCTCCTTATGTGAAGGGTCCTTTGGTAACATGTCTGGCGATAACCCCAGTGTTCTGATGCTAGTGGTATTTCCTGTTGGCTGACAGCCAGTTTTGGGCTGTACTTTGCTACGTACAAAGTATGTATCAAAGAAAAACTTCTTTGCTACATGGTGTCTCTACTCTTGCAGTCGAACTGCTTCCCATTTGCTTCCATTATGTTTACTTCTCTCATATTGAACACTTTCATAGTTCTTTCAGTGATTGGAATTCTTTGAAAAAAACAAATTTCTGTACATGCTGTGGTCTGAAGTTAGCCCTGAATCCCTTAGACCTCAGTGCATTGAATATTGAAGGCTTGTCTTGGTCTCATCTCTCCTCAGAAAAGCAGTTGTGGGATATAGGATAAGGGTGCAGAATTTATTGGATGCTTCCTGAGGTATGCACAAGGTTATGAGGGTTCAAAATCTCTGTTTGGGGTCCACGGCAAATGAGAGGTGAGAGAATTGTATCCCAGTTCACTGACAGGGTTAGAAAGTTTAAGCGTGGTCAGTGAGGAAGGATGAATGAATAGTTGGAAGGAATCTGTGATATTGTTTTGGAAAGTAGAATTACATGAGTATTTTAAGTTTGTGGCTTAGAAAGTAAATATAACTTTCCTTGCACAGGGATACAACAAAACCCTCATAGCCTTCCCTGTTCTTTGCCTGGTTACAGCCACTGGCCTCGCCCTTTCTGCATCTCTTCAAAGTACCCAATGTCCCTGGTTCTCATTTATCAAAAATTACTCTCAGGGAAGGATTAGAAATTAATCTTTACTTAGGTCAAATAACTAACAACAGATACACATCCTTTATTCATTTGCATTTTAATGAAGCTCCAAGTACAGCAGGGTGTGAATGTTCATCTCATTTTAACATGAATTTTAACGATTTTGATGGATTAACCCAGTCCAGGGTGGAGAATTTCTCTTCTCCTTTCCCAGCTCTCCATGCAGAGGACAAGGGTTTCTCCTTACAAAGCTTCGAAACCCAGTCCTTCCTCTAATCCAGCAAGTACAAAAACTGCCTGATGATAATGTGGGCTCTGGTTTTGAGGGTTGACTTAAGAAATGTCCAAACCTGTAGAGATTTTTCATGAGTTTATTTGAACTAAACTGACCACAATTTTGCCAAGAGGTGAAATCTCAATGAATTGAGAAAATGTTCCAGAAAATGGCAGTTTTGCAGCTTATTTTATACATTAGAATCAAAGGTGGAAACATAAGGAGGTTACATGAAATTCATTTGTGATAGATTAAGGGGACAAGAGAAAGCAAAACTAGGAAATCTCTGTGATTAGATAAAAAGTAAAACAGAGAGACACATACTTCTTTTACACTGGTAGGTACAGGATAGGTAATAACATTTACAGCACGTAGAGATGGTAAACGGGAAACAAGAAGACAGTGAAGGATTCTGTGGTTTTGTGCTCTGGGATGTGTGCCTTGAGGGGTGTGGAAAAGGAAATTACTCTGACAATTCAAAGATATGTTATCCTATCTGAAAAAAGACAGTGGGGAAAACTCACTTAAGGTAAAGATGGACCTTTGTCCAGGAAGCTACAGGCCTAGGACATGAATGTCTTTCATGACCCACTTTTTTTATCTTCAGACCACTCTATATGGTTATTTTCAGTGTCTGAGTTTGCAGGGCCTACCATGCTGGCCTCCCCTGAGCTTATCAGGTTTAGCATGTGTCCCTTTTTTGTCCACAAGGGGGTGTTCAATTCTACTGAGGAAGAAAAGAGAATGAGATTTTTATGTGGAAAATATGCAGTGGGTGTAGGTGGCAAACAGGGGAGAATAAGAGGGAGAAGCAGAGGGAGTGTTACCTACGAGCCTACCTTGGAAGTTGCTGAAGATAAGTGGGCACCCCCACTCAACTCCTAGTACACATGACCTAGGATGTATCTGAGGAGCAGAGAGAAGATACACTGGATAAAAATTCCTTTCAAGGGTTTAGAAAATTACCAGTGAAATGCTCTGCCTTCATGGTTAAATGCCACCACGCCCTCAAACTTGCCTTCTCTGCCCTGCCCCCCACTGTAGAATCGGGCAGGGTGTACAGTGGCTCCTTTTGCACATGCCAGTGACTGGCTGAGAACCCAGCAAGACTGTTTTCTTGTTTGTTTGTTTTTTGCAGAGGCAGCTCCCTTTTTGGTTGCTTTCCTGCAATGTTCCAGTGCCCATAAGCCTAAGCATCTACTAGATGCCTAAAGACATGGTGAGAGGAAGTCCACTTCTGGTTTGGGTTCAGACTGCACTGAACAAGAAGATTAAGATCTCCTAAATTGGCACAGTGGTTTATTGACATCACTATCACACAAACACTCTTTAAAAAATGAGACTCTAAAGTAGAATTTCAAATATCAGAAGGCAAGAGGATAAGGTCTTTTAAATCCTTTTCTAAAAATTTAATTATTTATTTTTTATTGAGGTTATATTGGTTTAGAACATAAATTTCTTATATACAACACTTATATAATTACTTCATATATAATTACAGGTATAATTTAATATCTGTGTGTTCTATTGTGTGTTTACCTCCAAAAGTCTAGTTTCCATCTAGTTTCTAAACACCATGTATTTGACCTCCTTCACCCAGTTGCCCCCATCCACCCTCTCTGGTAATCACTATTCTGTCCTCTGCACCTGTGAGTTTGTTTTGTTCTGCTTTGTTAGTTCTTTTGTTACTTTTTGTTTTCTATCCACATATGGGTGAGATCATACCAGTTTTGTCCTTTTCCTTCTGACTTACTGGTCAGTCTCTGCTGACAGGGAAAATGTATGGAGAAATGTCAGGGGGACGTGGGCAGACTCAAGAAAAGAAGAGAGGAAAGAGAAACAAGTTCTAAGAGATCACATTTTACTTAAAGACTAGATTTAGAGAAACATGGAAACAGGAGGAAACAGACCAACAGCTGCCAGAGGAGAATGGTAGAAAGAAGGGAAAGGGGCTAGTCAAAGAGCATGTGTGAATGACCCATGGACATGGACAACAGTCTGGGGGTCGACCGACTGTGGGGCCAGGGAGCAGCTGGATGGCAGAGGGCAAAGGGGGAAAATTGGGACAACTGTAATAGAATAAACAAGAGTTTTTATTTTTATTTTCAGTTTTAGTTTTTAGTTTTTAAAAAGAAAAAAAAACTGGATTTGAATAGCAAGACATTGTAGTAAACTGCAATTCTTTGGCAAATAGTAAGAAAATTAAATTATATCATTTATTGATTACATTTTGCAATCTTAGAAAGAGAATGAAAATGCAAGAGGAGAAGGAAAAAAAGGGTGGAGCTCTGTGAATTACAAAATATGTCAGTAGAGGACATCTTCAAGAACACTGCCAATAAGGCCATGAAGTTACAATACAGGAATGCCCCACCTACCTTAAGATCTCCAAAGGAACTAGGATGGGAATATAGGTAAAACAAAAAATAAAGCTCATTCTCTTTCAGCATGATGTAATGCAATTAGAGAGAAATTCTAATGTGTAGCATAGGATAACTTTAAAGAAATGAAATATGTGGCATCCCACTCATTCATTCAACAAATACTGAAGAATCTTGAAGTAGAATGCTGCAAGCCTTTCCAGGGCCAGTAAACAGGATAGAGCCTATATAAAACAATGACAGGTGTATGGAAAAGTGAAACATTTAACTATATTATATCAAAACACTTTTTAAAAAGTGAGTATGACACTAAGTAGAATAATGTGCTTTCAAGTTTATGAGAAAACATATGTCTGAAAGAGATCTGAAATTGATGTTGAATTTTCCATAGGTATATGGTATGAGAGCCATTAGTAATGCCCACCAAGCATTTCTGGTTTTCCACCTTCTGGCAGAACATTAGCATTGTACTTCCTGGTCCTGCATGGTTTGGTGGGGTCATGTGATTATTTCTGGCCAAAAAATTATGAGCAGGAACTAGAAATGTTATCTCAGAGATAAACATTTGATTGCTGATGCTCCAGAACTCTCTTTTCCCTGGCACAGAGGGTAACATTTGAGATGGTGGCTGCCTGATCACCTGAATCTCTGACTGATCTCTAATGCTATGAAGCATGAATAAAATATAACTCTTTATTGTTTTAAGTCACTGATATTTTGGGGTTGTTTGTTACTGTTAGCAAAATTTAATATGTTCTGATTTACAGGAAGAAGTGAGCTTATACAGATATTAAAACAAAGGATGACTTCATAAGTCTAGGGACATTCCGATATGAAAGTTACTACAAGGAGGAGAAAGAGGAAAAGGAAGTGATGAGAAAAAAGAGAAGGAAACAATGATTAATATACTTTATCCCCTCTCGCCCCCA